GCATTACCACAATTTTATAAAATATTTTATTTTAAGATTTTCGTACCTATACTTGTCAAGTATTCTTTCAGGTGAACCAGATAGTAATCTTAGGGCTGGTTGGTTAGCTCAGTTGGTTAAAGCATGGTGTTATAACACCAAGGTCAAGGGTTTAGATCCCTAGGCCAGCCAGCCACCAAAAGAAAAAAAAAGAGAGAGAGATAATAATCTTGCCCAGTTGGAAAAAACTATTAGGTCCTTTATTGGAATTGCATGAAATCCACAATATAACTTGTGAAAATTGACATTTTCATAATATTCAGTCTTTTTCACAATAAATATGGCTGTCTGTCTTATTTCAAATTTTGTAAGTTTCTTCATATAGATCCTGCATATTTCTCATTATGGTTACTACTGATGATTTTAAATTTGGAGATACTTTTTTCTTTTTAGTTGTAACATGATTGTCATTTCTGTGGGGTACAGAGTTGATTATCATTACCTGTGTACAATATGTGATGCTCAAATCAGGATAATGAGTGCTTTCAACATTATACAGTGCAATCGTTTTTCATTTACCAATTCCCCCCTTCCTTGTCACTGTTTTGAATGATATCTTTTCCCCTACGGTTACCATTTCATATTGCTCTTCTTAGATTTTCTTGATGGACAGATCATCTACAAATTATGATCATTTTTTTGTCTACTTTCCAAATACTTACAATTCTTATTCAGATTTCATAACCCATTGCATTGGGGGTCTCATACCTACATCTTTGCTTCCTCTCTTCTGGAGGTGCCCAAGCTAGCAAGAAATGACCTCCTTTAATTCATCAATTTTAGTGTTCTCTCTGGCTGGGGTTCTCAAGGTTTGGGATGGTAAATGGTGAACACCCTTGCTTCCCGGGGCTGATGTACGTTTTCTCTTATTTCTATTTGGTCCAAGTGGTTTTTTCGAATGTAGAGTTTCCAGCCTCTGTTCTCCCCTCATCTTATCCAGAAGGCTGCCATGCTTAACCTAGAAAGAGAGAAAATACATACGAAGAACGTTAGAAATTAGGAGTGATATGCAGCAGGAGTTACAAACGGATCTGAAAACAATTACAGGAGCATAGTAAGCAGATCAGCAGAGCAAGACAGAAACACTGATGAGCTTCTCGAATTCCAGAGTCTGATTTCTCTGTCTCTCTCTGCGGGACTCACCGTGGGAAAGGCCTGGTCGTCAGTGTTTAGTCACATGGAAATAGTACTCTTGATCTGAAAGGGTCCATTGGCTTATCCTCTCACATTAGAGTAAAACTTCTTGTACAACCTCAGGGTGGACTCGGGAGCACCCTTCCCCCAGGAGGCACCTTCCTGCCTCTTTTCCTCCATGCCCAGCACAGGGCAGGCACCTGTCATCACCCAGCGCCTGTCGGGGTCACATGGGAAATTTGCTCTAAGCCCCCTTCATTTGAGAATGGAACGATCTCATTTGGTAGCAGAAGGAAGTACTGTTGGGCCTAGTGCTACCCCAAACTGGATCTCTAATGGGGAATATTCCAGAGGCGATTATCCTGAAATGAGACCCAGTCACAAGAGGAGTCTCAGTTGAGAGCCAGTGTTAGCACTGCAAATTATTACCAAATCACCACAATGAGCTGGGAAGGGACTGGGTGGGACCCATTGCCCCCAAAGAACAATGAACACATTGTCCGGATTATGTTCTAGTGCAGTGGTTATTAAACACTGTTTGGTTGTGGAATCTTTGCTTTAAACATTTTGCATGTAAGATTTTTGTGTGTGTGTGTGTTTATATATGTTGTATGTGTACACATACATGTGCAAGTGCATGTGTGTGTGCTCCTGTATTTTTGTGTCTACACGTGTGCATTGTGCGTACATGTATATGTTATGTGCAAACACATGTATGCATTGTGCGTTGTGTGTGTGCACGTGTATGTGTGTGCATGTAGGACCAGAAAGAAGTGCAGCTGGTGGGTTGGGGAGGCCAAGCGGCTGGCCTCTTTCACCTCCCCGCAGAGCCCCTGCCATCCCACGGTGTGCAGTTTGGAACTGCTGTTCTCCAGTGGGTTGTGTGCGTCAGGGGTGATGGTGGTGGTGATGCTGTGTGTTTGTTTTCCCCTGAAGATCTAAACTGAGTCAGCCCCAGGGACAGCATCCAGCCTATGCATGGGCAATGACAGGTCATTAATATCTGCTGAGATGTTACCTTCGAAGGGAAATGTATCTTCCCCTCCCATTGTACTAGCTTTTGAATGTTGATCTGTTTTAGAAATATGGAGCTGTTTCTTTGTTTCGATGTTTCTAGAACATTGAAAAAGCCATAAAGTCTTGCCACTTGGTTAAACTACAGGGGCCTTCCTGTTCTGTGTGGCTGCCTCCGTCTTTCTTAGTGACTCTGTGTTTTTTCTTTCTGTCAACAAGCTGATGTTCTGGGCCTGCTGGAGCTCCTCCATAAATTAGCTGCCCTCAGCCAAATGAGAGACCGTTCTCACCCTCACCTCATTTGCATATCTGCAAGAGGAAGTGTCCCGAGAACAGAGCATTGAAAGATAAGAGCTTAGCAGGGTGAGCTGCCCTTGGCATTTGTCTGGCAGGCTCTACAAAGGGGCTGGAGGCTGGGAGTGATGGGGTGACAGTTGAGGCAGGTTGTGGGTGGTTCTCTGTGTCCCAGGGACATGTCTGGGAGGTGAGATGACACTCGACTAGAGATTCATCCTTGCTATTTCTGATACAAGATGATTGTGGTATCCATTGAGGCTCTGGAGATAGGACAGGGAGTGGGAAGGTGGGAAGTAAAGCGATAGAAGGAAGAAAGGAAAAGAGCCTCTCCTGCATGAAATGATGAGACGTGTGGAAGTGAAATTACCCAAAACCTTACCCCAAATTTTCTTTAAGCATTCATTGATTCAAAAGCCATAAAATAAAAGTTTGTAAAACTGGCCTTATAAAATTGTAAAGCTTCTTACATAGCTAAAAAGAAAACAACGATAAACGCTGTTAAAAGCAAGTAACTCCAAATTATATTGTAGCATGTGTCAAAGTCTTACATGTAAAAAAATGAAAGATGTTACAAAAGAACAGAGGAGCCAAAGACATGAAAGGGATTCACAGGAAAATGAAATACAAGTAACGAAACGTGAGAACATGTTGAACTTTTCTCAGAAAGAGAGGTAAATTAAAGCAAAGTATCATTTTTCTTTTACCTCTCAGATTTGCAAACATTAAAAAGTCTGATAATGGCTAGTTGGCAGGGTGTGGGGCACGGACACTTGCATACCCGGTTAGGAGGAGAAAATGGCCCGGGCTCCTTGGGAGGTGGTAGGTAGTCTCTATCAAACCACGAAACGCCTGTGTCTTTTAGCCCAGCTGTCTCTTTCTAGCGATTTATCCAGAGTCACTAACAAATGTCAGCAGACATAGGGTTCAGCGTGTGCCAGGCCCTGTTCTAAGGCTTTTCATACATAAACTCACTTCATCTACACAGCAGGTAGAGGTTGTGTTATTATTATCCCCATTTTACTGATGGGAAAACAAAAACTACAATTCATCCATGTATGTAAAGAGGCAGGAACAGAGATGTTCACAGCAGCATTGTTTATAACAGCAAAAAGCTGAAAATAACCGTGCATCATCAAGGCCTGATCAAACACAGTGGAGCGTGGTGGGAATGGCAGAGACCAGCTCTCAGTTGACTTGGGAAGACCTCTAAGATACATAGTGGGTACATATGTATATATTTATTTTGGGTGAAAAAAAATTTCAGAACAAGGTATATAATATGATATTTGCATTTCAAAATTTTGAAAGACGTGCATAGATAAGCTTGTGTGCATGTTTAAAAGTTCTGGAATGATTTACAAATAGGAGTAGAAAATCTAAGAAGTGGGGCTCACAGGAGGGGGGAAGGAGATGTTTTTCATTTTATATCTTTCTGCATGGCTTTAATTTTTTTCAACTGGTGTATAATTTTTCAAGTCAAGTTAAACAATAACACATCTAAGTGCTTTGTGGAGCGCCTGGCCCATGGGAGGAGTGAGCGAAGCTTCTCCAGTGAAGCTTGCTTGATGGCCCAGCTGGCCCTGAACCCCTGGGGGTTCTGCAGGCGTGGGTGAGTCTTCAAGGTTCTTAAGAATCCCAGGTGGAGGAAATGGGGGAGATCAGGGTGGGCGAGAGAAAACAGCAGCAGCTTTCAGTAAGAGTATAAGATTCAAATAGCGTTTCCCCAAACTCCCTAGCCTGTGGGACCAGGCTCGGCGGGACCCACCTCTCCCAGGGTGCTCAGACTTGACAACTCCCCCTTTCTCTCAGAGGTTTTAGGAAAGTAAAAAGTAGCCACCCCTCCTCCTCACAGTGAGGATCCCTGAGCCAAAGGAAGGCAGAACTTCTAGAAAGAAGAGAATCTGGGGTTCCTACCACTTCTTCATTAGAAACAACTCCAAGGCTCATTCACCCACTGTTGGGGCAAATCCAGGTCTCTGAAGGTTGGTGGCCGACCTCTGGTGGAACAGGCCCATGGGGCAAAGTGTCCAAGGGGTGGACTCTTTGTGGGGGGTGGCAGGGAGTGCAGCAAGGACGAGGCACCCATGAGCCTTGCCATGACCCCGCCCTGCTCAGCCCCACGAGAGCTCTATTCCTTCCTCAAACGCACCCACCTGCTCCATTCTCTTGACCAACATGACAGCCAAGAGGGTGAGGAAGCCCTTCCAGATGGTGGACGCCCTAGATCAGACACCATAACTGTCAAGCACCGATGTTAATCAGGTGTCCACGCCCAGATGTCCCCACCCGCATTTTCCTAGCGCTCTTTGAGTGCTGGGGGGAGGGTAGGCAAGAAGCATTGCTCTCCACAGGCCTGCTGGTCGCCAGGGCTCATCGCCTACTCAGAGAACCAGCTCCGAAATCTAGAGGCTTTGTGCCCAGATTCCTTGAGCTGTGTTGGGGACTCTTGTCTTTTCAGTTATGAGAAAAATGGATTTTCCTGCATAGGTTCTAATGAAGTCTTTGATCTATTTCAGGTATCGGAATTGCGTTTACACTTACAGAATTCTGCCCAATGAAGATGATAAATTCACTGTTCAGGTAGGTCCTTTATAAACCCAGAAATTGGAACTTGACTTGGGCCTATCCTAGCAGAGAAAGTGAGAAAGAGGAAGAAGAAAGCTCCTGCCCCAGGTAGCTGAGGCATGAAGGCCTGGCTGAGCCTGTCTTTCTCCCAAAAGTCCACGGGGTGGCTTAGTGGGTTATCTGTGATCCTCTGAAGTGACCCTGTGCCATGACATGAGGAGTTGGCATCAGAGGTGATCTGTGTCACTGGCTGTGGTGAAGGGGATGAGGAGGCTGCGGCTTGGTCACTGACTTTCTTCCGATCCCTCGAATGAATGACAGGAAGTCGTCCAGGAGGGAGAGCAGAGGGTGAACTTGCAGGAGAGCAGAGCGAATTATCTGAGGGGCTAGAAGATGGCCCAGAGGATTAGCACAGAACGCTTCATCTCAATTCGTAGAGCTCTGTTCTGTCCAAAGCTGTTGTTCGCAGCACCTGATTTCACCACGTGAAATCTAAACATGCAAAACTTGCAGTTAAATTTTAAAAAGAAAAATCAGCTCAAACAATCCATGCCTGGGAAGACCACCCTCAGCACGGTTTGGTGAGAGATGCTCAGCCCTCAGGGACCATGCATGGTAAGAGGCGCAGCAACAAGAAAGGGTACCCGTGTCCTGAACAGAGCAGCCGGGCTAGACAAGGGTTTGGACGCCATTCATGGAGGAGCAGTGACAGGTCTATGGGGTTTAGTTGAAAAGAAAGTGGAAGTGGGAGGGGAGAGGAAGGGCCTGATCACTGGCTTGCAAAACTTGAAAGAAATGATTCATTTTGTGCAGAACTTGGATGCAGTAGTTGACACAGAGCTGGACTCAAGGGCAGGACAACAGGCAGTTCCCTGGGGCAAAAACCACAGGAAAAATGTCAAGGGGGAGAGGCTGTGTTGAGCAGAATGCCTCTCAGGGAGACTATTTATGGGGATCAAAGGAATCACCTCAAGGAGCCACTTGGTTCAGAGAGTGAGACCCTTGAACCAGCCCAGGTGGTCCTGGAGCTGCGTTGGTGGGAGGCTGGGTGTGTCTGCTGCAGGGCTTCTGTGGAAGATGCGTGCATGGGCTCAAGCAGAAAGCCCACCCCGCCCGAGGGAGGGCAGGCTTCTCTGTCCTTCCCACCTGCGCTTCCATACCAGGATCTAAAGAGTATCCACTGGAAGGTTTGTAGCTGGTCTGGGATGGCCACATGTCTTGGCCTGGTCCTTGGTAGATGTCACCAGGAGCAGGTGTTGGCACACCTGGCATAAGACCATATTTTCAAGGACTTGGCAGCTATTTGTCATGGGAATGTTTGTCTCTGACGTGGACTCCTTGCCTGTTGGGGACATGGCCAGCCAGAGGGAGGCCTGCATGGGACAGGTGTCTGGCCTTCATGGCCTCTACAATTTTTTTCCAAGTCTAGGACTGTGTGAGGTTTCCTGGATGGGCTGGCATCCTCGATAGGGAGTTTGCTGAGAGGAGCCTAAACTCTCTTAAGTTAAAAGTTGGCCGATGCTTTTGATCTTTTTTCCCCTTGTGGTTTCTTTTATTCCTTCAAAGTGAAGAAAACTTTAAGTATGACTGGAAAAGACACGACTTTGTGGCTTCTTGTGCAGAGCCAGTACCACGGCTTGTAAATGTGTAAACTGTGCCTGGAGTCTGTTCCCCTCGCATCTCCTTGCTTGCGCTGCTGTGGCCTCCTGTGACCCCATGAATTGCTGCCCGCCCCGCAGCAGCTTCGAAATCTGGGGTCACCTTGGCCTTTGGGGGTGGCATGGAGCAGAGGCTGGCTCTGGCTGACTCATGGAAGGGCGGACAGCCTTTTTGAGATATGCAGAAGCTCACTGGGCCAGAAGCAGCAGAGCTGGGCCCTGCACCGTGAGTTCAGCTGCTCTCCTGGCCTGCTCTTCCCCTGCCAGCAGGCTCACTTCTCAGTTCCCAGTCTCCAGGGGAATCTGACTCGGCCCTCAACAGCTTTCTCTGCATGGGCCACTCAGGGGCCACCAGTCTGTGTATGACTTGACTGTCTTGCAGCAGGTGCCTGCCCACCACTGGGAGATGGGGGCAGAGTGTGGCTACCTAAGGCCCACCCCCAACCAGGGCAAGGGGCAGGCAATGTTCATAGAAGGGGTGGAGGCCTGCCGGACATATCTTCTCCCAACCCCAGCACAGGGCCTGCGACCTCTTTGGTAGCTGACAGCAGGTAACCAAGGTAGAGAGAGCTGTGGGCCTACGTAGTCTGAGGGAGTTTCCACCCTTAAGGATGCGCCCTCCTATAAAAAGTCACCTGCTAAAATAAATGAGAGTAGATGTCTACTGAGGAGCAAGTTAAAGCTCACGCCCGATTAAGCAAAGTCAGAGATCTTCTGAGGAAGCTTCGGCAGTTATCAATTGCTGCTTATTTTAACTCGAGTTCCTCTTTTCATGTTGAGACAAAACCTCACCCTCTTTTCTGAGCTTAGCCACAGTTTCTAAATAACTCATTCCTTATACCTGAGTCTGGTGCCACCCAAATATGAAGCTCCCCAAAATAAGAATGTGGCCTGAAACATTTCCAAGTATAGCACCAAAAGACTTTAATTGCTTTCTTATTTTAATTACCTTAGCTCTTCTTGCTGGGCCTCCCATCTCTGTCAAAACCAGAGAGCCACCCCATCTTGGTTCCTTGCAGAGCAACCTCATGAAGTCTGTCCACACGTCATGGCCACGAGAGTCCCATGTTGGAGAGAATCTCTGTCAAAACCAGAGAGCCACCCCATCTTGGTTCCTTGCAGAGCAACCTCATGAAGTCCGTCCACACGTCATGGCCACGAGAGTCCCATGTTGGAGAGGAGTGACCCTGACACTCGGGGACTTTTTTCTCTTGCTGCACCTTTCGCAGACTTACATAAAATCAGGGATGGGAGGGAAGGATGCACACTAACTTCATCCAGTTCCCTGCTTTAAATATGAATGTTGCTAAGACCCACAGAAGTTGAAGCTCTTGCGCAGGTCTGCAGACCTCCCCAGCCAAGCCTTCTTCCTTCTACCCCAGAACGTGTTTCCAGAGACCTGGCTGGGTGTTGGAATCCCCAGGGAAGGGTGGGCCTGGGACTCTGCCTGGGGGAATGGGGAGAGGCAGGCAGTGTGGCCTTTCGCAGACTTACATAAAATCAGGGATGGGAGGGAAGGATGCACACTAACTTCATCCAGCTCCCTGCTTTAAATATGAATGTTGCTAAGACCCACAGAAGTTGAAGCTCCTGCGCAGGTCTGCAGACCTCCCCAGCCAAGCCTTCTTCCTTCTACTCCAGAACGTGTTTCCAGAGACCTGGCTGGGTGTTGGAATCCCCAGGGAAGGGTGGGCCTGGGACTCTGCCTGGGGGGATGGGGAGAGGCAGGCAGTGTGACCTCTCAAGGAGCTTGGGTCTTGTCCTTCGCACAGTCGTAGGTGATACCTGATCATAAATGGCATTTGGCCCTCGTGGTCAGTCAGTGAGGTGCCCGGCACTAAAGCAGACTCCTCCGTTCCCAGCCGGGAGCTGGGTTCAAGTCCAGATTTCACCAGCCATGTAGCCCCGGGCAAGGACTGCCAAGGAGCTCCGCTGGAAAGTGGGGATCACACACATGCCTCCCGGCGCAAAGAGGCAGCAGAGAAGGGGGTGGACAGGGAAGGGAGCCGGGAGGTGTGCTGGAAGATTCTAGGCAGTGCCCTGGGGTGGTGGGGAAGGGGGGCACATTTTGTGGAGATCAGCCTCCCCCAGCTCTGCTTCTCGGGCTGTGGACCGCTGTGTCTTCGGTGACCCTCGTAGCATGTGAAATTAGGCAGTTGTTCAATAGCTGGTGTGACCTTCACACCCTGAGAACCTTCTGGACTGGAGCCTGCTCGCTGGTCCTCGAGGGTGGGCGGGCTCGGAGCGAGTTTCCCACACCAAGAGCGCGGGTTTCTCACCCAGCCCAGACGCCTCTCCGGCCGTGGACTGGAGCCTGCTCGCTGGTCCTCGAGGGTGGGCGGGCTCGGAGCGAGTTTCCCACACCGAGAGCGCGGGTTTCTCACCCAGCCCAGACGCCTCTCCGGCCACAGAAAGGGAAGCGGCTGTCCCCTAAGGGAAGCGACTGTCCCCTAAGGGAAGTGACTGTCCCCTAAGGGAAGCAAGCGGAGCCGTCTTGAGCTGCTGACGCCAGAATGAGCTGTGAGGTGCTGCTGCATTTGGAAATGACCCTCCTCCCTGGGACAGTGAGGAAGAGTTTGTGGCACTGCCACCGTCCTGACGGGCCAGCTCCGGTGCCACCGAAGGGGGGACACAGGGCTCACGGGCAGCCTTCCGACGTGACACGTGAATGGCCGCCCCAAACCCGGTGCCACAACTGAAGCAGACGGGCCCTCGGCTCCGTCCTACAGTCCTTAGCCTTTCTCGCTCTCTGACATCCTTCCTGCCAAGACGATCAAGCAGAAAATACAAAACACTCATAATCCCCTGTCACGTCTGTGAACTTCCTGCCTGTTCTTGAGGATACTGATTGTTTAAGTCAAGATGGGAGCACGACGAGATGAAGAGAGAGCTAGACGATGCCTGCCTTGTAGGCTCTTTGGTTATTCTTTCCTGATTTGCAAGAAAAAGCCAGTGGCTCGAGCCATTTGAGTGAGTTCTAATGATGAGAGACTCATGACTCCAGTTCCTGGTCCCCGACGGTGGCTGGCACGTCGCTCTGGTCAGCGCAGCCTTTGGAGAGGGAAAACAAAACAACTTTCTAACAGCTCTTCCGTCACCAGTGTCCGGGAGGGTAAACGGCTGAGCCATTGTTATTAAGCTCAGGAAGCGGGTGGCAGCTGTTATTGTTCTGAGTGGTCACCGAGTGAAGTAAAGATTCTGTCTGAGCCGCCGGGCGAAGGATGTGGCTCTAACACACACTTCCTGAAGTTGTGCAACGAGAGGGAGCAGAAAAGGCTCTGGCGACAGAAGCCAGCAGGGCCCCAGGCCACCTTGCTGGGGTCCCCAGACCTCCTTGCTGGGGGTCTCTGGCCACAC